CTATCTTATGTGGCAAAGAGTAAATGACCCCAATCTAATATGTGAACTGTCAAAGAAATCATTTTAGTAGCATTAATCTCACTGGTGGTGACAATACCCTGTGATCATTTGATGGCAGGTCTATGAAACAACTTATTATGTCACTGGTAGAGGTTTCACCTAAACCAGACAGAGTACTTTTATTTGCAATGTAAAAGTTATGTTTGCATGAAACACAAGAATTATTGTCCAAAATATAGTGTAACGCTGAAACAACGTTGCCTTTGCGAACTGAAGTTGGTTCATTTTTAACTTCTTCATATACGTAATTTAACACTTTGCATCCAGCACCTACTCTCAAGAAGAATTTTTAATTTGCCTCCAAACAAAAGTGTGTGGTGCCCCCTACTGGCCAATTTTAAGATTATTTAACAAACTTGACCTCAATGTGACAGACAGCCTACACAGTGATTTATTGAACAAACTTGATATATGGCACAATTTTCACCTGGTTCTAGCACATGTTGGAAACATGTGCTGTCCCCTACTGAGCAATTTAAGGAGAGTTTTACACACATGGTTACAATAATGTTATGAAATTAATCTTACAAGTTTTGTCATTTGACATTAGGGCTCTTTCTTCAAGCTGTAAAGTGGCAGAACCCAAAGAATGGGACAATAATGAGTTGAGATTCATTGGAAAACTTGTGAAAACCATTCAAACATAAATTGAAAAGCTTAACTACACCTGATAGCAGTTATCCATAGCATAACAAGCACAGCCAGTCAGGTGACTTTAAAATTCTTATGGAGGAAGTTATGCCCATTATGTTTGTAGGTCGTCCCACAATGAATGTAAAGAGTAGAGAAGATGCAGGACAGGCCTAATCAGCAAAACAAATATAGACCGACAGTACGGCACTGGAATGAGTGTGGATGGCCTTTTTAATAATTGTTGTCATTGTTTTATTTTTTTGTAGATGCAGTATAATCACACATATGATAGAAAGTGGTTTCTGACACAGAATTTGTTGAAGATCCCATATTTTACCATTGTATCTGTGGGTGGGTCTTTAATGATGATTGCATCTGGGTGTGTGTTTTGTGTGTTATATATAATTTTTGTCAGTTTGGTTAGTGTGTCTGTGGGATTTTGTTTTGACTGGGGCTTGGTGTTGGTCCGCAATTCTAGGAAGGGGCGTGGTGTGGCTGCCCAACCGATTTTAAACAGCAGACCGGCGCCACCCAGCAATCAGGGGACCATAACCCTAGCATAGTGCCACACAGTGGCCGGGAGGAAGAAGAAATTCTGCATAACAAACATAAGGTGGTAATTTCAGTTATACCATTTGTACTTCATGTAATCTTTTTTGTAAACCTTTACTCCAATCTTTTGAACAATACCTTTTACTACTGCAGTACTCCAAAAAGTCTTGAAAAATAATTGCTCAGTAACATGTGATGTTATTTAATTTTCAGCTTAAGCTCATATATGTACAGTTTTCTTTATTTTTSTAGAACATCCTGTGTATTTATGTTTGAACAATATGTTCTACTTGCAACACTTTGCCTCGACCAAATTATGTCAAACAAATGTTAAATATAGTTGTAAATACAAGAGAAATATAACTCAGGGTTCAGGAATAAAGCTGCCACAATGGTTACTATTAAACAGGGGTTTTGATTGTTGGTTTTTCATTTGTTTCATTGTCAAACATTTGTAAAAATGTAATTGTATTAAAACAGTGATGGCAGCGGTGTGTTTATGTACTGTTAGAATAAATGTTTGTTCGTTGTTTCAAAAGTTAAATGAGAAATTGTAAATCCTTGCAAAAATTAAAAGTAATTTAATTCATTAAAGAGAAGAAAACACATAAATCAATACATGTGTACTGTGGTGTAACATAAACTTAGAGGAGCTAATTTCCATCAGATAATCTGCTGGTTCTTCAACGAAACAGCTCGAGCATATTATCACTTTTTTTTCGTAATACAACTTCTTTCCTCATTACATTACGACTTATTCTTGTAATATCCCAATTTTATTCTGGTAAAAATACAACGTCATTATCGTAACATGCYGACTTAATTCCTGTAAATTAACGAYTTAATTTTGGGAATATATTGATTTTATTGTCATAACACCCAAACTTTATCCTTGAAATATTACAACTTTATCCTCGTTACACCCGGACTTTATCGTTGTT